TCTTTTGCCACAAGATTATTAACTTTTAAAAAGTCAAAAGTATCAAGTTATCAATGATATCTATAATTGGCAAAAAAAAAATTTATTGAGTCAAAGAATATATCAAATTATTGTATGCAAAGTTTGCCAATAGCAAAAGAGTTGTTCAATCATCTTGATAATAATTCATGGTACACCTCAAATATTGCTTCAAAATTAGATTCATCCATTCTATTTGTCCATCAATTTGAGAATGAAAAGCCAAAGAGAGCTTTATATCCACTTTTTATATCTTAAAAAGAATTCTCTAAAATTTAGATGTAAATTGAGAACTACCATCCAATATAATATCCTTGGATAATCCATAATAACAATAGATATTATTGAAAAAAAACTTAGCCATTTCTTTACTTATAATAGATATTATATATAGGACAAAATAAGCCATCTTCATAAAATAATCTACTACCAAAAATAGAGAATCATATGAACCTAAGATTAAAAGATTTGTGATAAAATCCATAGAAATAAAAGATTGTGGTTGTTTCAAAATAGATAATAGTTGAAAAAGTCTATAAAGTCAATGATAAGGATTTTTGAATCTTGAAAAAATATCACATGATTTTATAAAATCTTTGACTACCTTCCACATTTGAAGCCACTAAAAATCTCTAGATATTAGCTTCAAAGTCTTGTTGTATCAAAAATGTCTGATTCTTGAAAAGTCATAATGAGCTTAAAGAACACGTAATCATGTTTTGCCTTTTAGAATGTATAATCATCCCTCAAAGTATAGTAGATTATTCTTAAATTCAAACTTAAAAGTATCATGAGATCTAGAAAATCAATCTAAGTAATATTTATTATTATTATTTTTTTTTATCTTTGCATATAATCTTGCATCTCTAAATTTTTGTAATACATGACGAATAAGAAGTTTATATTCTTCCATATTTTAAGAGTAAATTAGAATGTTGTTTAAATAACATACAACAAAATCATCAAAAAACTCACAAAAAAAATCATTTATGAGATGTTGAAAAGTAGCCAATGCATTTGTAAGTCCTAAAGGCATTACAATATATTCAAAATATCCATACCTATTTTGAAAAGTAGTCTTTTACTTATCTCCTTCTTTAATATGGACTAGGTTGTATAATCCTTGTAGATTTATTTTTGTATAGATCTTTACTTGATTGAATTGGTCAAGAAGTCTTGAAATCAAAAATTGGGAATACCTATTCTTCATGGTGATCTTTTAAAATCCTCAATAGTCTATGTATATCTAAAAAGATCTATCTTTTTTTTTATAAATATGATAGGAGCTCTTATTGAAGATTTTAATTGACATATGAAGTTCTTAGCCAAATTCTTGTTAATGTATTCCTTTAGTGTGGCCAACTCATTTTGTAATAAGTTGTAGATTGGTTTAGATTGGTGATTGAACACCTTCTTGTAGATCAATTGAACAATTATAAGATTGAAGCTTTAGAAAATATCTATATTTGTTTTTCAAAAATATCTTAAGAATCTTGATATTGGCTAAAAATATTTCTTAACATCTTTCTACCATAAAAAATGGATGTGGCATATATAGCAAAAGATGGCATTTTTTCTTCTGCATGCATGAAAGGTCTTGCACTTACTAGTAAGAGTATGGATGTACTAAGCTTATATATTTTTACTTCACTATTAAAATTTTAGATTAAATTATAAAAAAAATCAAGGTTACTAGAAATCCAATCTATTTGAGGGTTATATTTTTTTAACTACAATAATCTTAAAATAATTAGATTGAAAGGAGATCTTATTAAATTAAATATTATTATACTATTATGATCTTTAATTATTATATCTAAAAGAATAGTCTCATGAATAACGTCTCTAAAAGTTAACAAACAACCATCTATGTCTTCTATATGTAGGAGTTTAATTTTCTTGATTAAAGATATTACTTATTTCTTGACAAAGTCTTCATCTATAAAAGAAGTTGAAGCTCTTAAATCTAATAATGCAAAGATTTTGTGATTTTTAGGTCTTAAATACATATCCATTGTAAAACAAGGTGAGGAAATTGATGAACGAATATAACCTTTATTAGGTATTGCACATGATTCCAACTGCATGATTTTTATTATAGTTGGAGAAATTTATTTTTTGATACATTGTCTTTTTTAGTAATCATGCTTTTTATTTTATAATTGCTTTGATTCTTTGAAGAATGTTGAATAATATGCTTAGCTTCTCCATAATACAAGAACAAACTTTCTTGATGATGTCAAGTCTTTTTTTTCTCAATGAAGGATTTAAAATATATTGTATCAATGTGCATTAGTTTTGACCTTAATAAATAAGTTTTTTAAAACTTGGAGGCTGCATTGTTACTTGGCTTGTTTTCCTTCAACCAAGTCTTTGTTCTTAATACCTTTCAAATAGTCAATTGTCACATGCAATCACTTAAGTAATAATTTTTTTTAAAGATTTTGCTTTTTGCATTGTCAATAACAAATCTTTGATGTTATTCTTCAATCCATATCAAAATTGATTGATGAAGGCTTTGTCATTCCAATCCATATCACAAGTGAGGTTTTTGAATTCAACAACATATATGATGGTTGATTGTAATCTTTGTTGTAAAGATAAGAACTTGGTTTCTACTACTCTAATATTAAATGAAAATTTCTACAAAAAAAAATAATCTACTTTCTTTAAGAAAAATATTGGTGTTAGAAAACTAAATAATTTGTTTAAAAGTGGATAATCTACAACCTTCAAAATACAATGTTAGAAGTAGGATAATCCACTCAATTTTATAATAAGTCAAAAACAATGAGTTAACACTCTTGTCAAACTATCAAGGACATGAAGCTTGAAAAAAGAAATCTTCAATATACTCTTGTGTCCTTCAAAAGAACTAAAAAGTCACTCAAAGATTATATAGTATTAAACTAGAATGGCTATTGCTAAAGACAAGAAGACTAAAAAGTCTTGAAACATAACTAAGGACTAGAAAGGCGTTGACAAGAGTGAAGAAGGCTTTACTCTTGCCTCTACATATATTCTTAACTAGAAGCTATGTGGTGATGTCCTATAGGACTTTGAAAATGTGTTGACTTTACAAGACATGTATTTTAACTTGCAAGGTAAGTTTTCTATATATGCCCTATATAATTAATTTATTTTACAAGTTATCAATATGTGGTTAATTTGTTGACAAATTTTTTAATCTACTAATCAACTACAAATATATATAAAATCAAAGCAGCATCTAAAAAGCTTCTAGGAAGCTTTTTAAAAAATATTATGAAATAAATCTATTTTTATTTATTTCTATTTAATCATATAGATAAATATTAGAATAAATATAAATGTATCCATGACAAGCAACAATAGCAATCATATATTAGGGTGGTCTTTATGTCTTAGTATACAATACTATCAATAGTTAAGAGATTTTGTTAACTATCTTCAAAAAAAACAAAGATTAGAATAGGTGGCAAATATAATTTGTTGCATTTTGGACTTTTTTAACATATAATTATCTTTTCTTATAGAACTTAATTCTATAATAGAAAATAATATTATAGACATATGTAATTACTTAAATAAAAAGTATTGAGTAGAAAATAAATATAAGTAGATTTGATAATATCTTCTTGAAAAGCTTCTTAGAAGTTGTATAGAAGTGGATTTGACTTTATACACGTTTGTATTTGATTGATGGATTAAAAATTTGAATAATAAGTTGGTCACATATTGCACATCTTGGTGATTTTTCATATAAATTGGCCATGTAGCAGACATATAAGAAACTTGTCTTACAAGTTATACATGTGTCTTATAAGTTGGATATATATTACAGGTCCTATGGATTTTCTTCACATAGATTCAAATTAGATAGTATATAAGAGGTAAGAGTAAAGCCATTCCTACTCTTTTTAATGTCTTTCTTATTCTTAGTCTTGTTTTAAGAGTCTTTAGTCTTCTTAGTCTTGTTTCAAGAGTCTTTAGTCTTCTTATCTTTGATAATAGTCATTCTAATCTTAAAAATATACCATCTTTGAATAAATATGTATTCTTTTATAGTAACACAAGAGTATGTTAATCCTTTGGTTGTTTTTAATTTATGTCCTCGAAAAAATAATTGGTTCTTACTTAAGTTAATTATCTCTAATATACTTGCTATTTTTAATTCTTATTAAATTGGTTCTTATGTGTGTCAAGTATTTCAAATCTATATTTAATATTTGAGTTGTATTAGTTTAGATCTTTCTATTAGATTAGTTTTATTTTCTAATGACCTTTGATTAATTGGATTAATTAATATATATTAATGAAGTATAGATTTTTTAAAGATTCATCTTATCAAATTAAATACAATAAGATATTATATTTTAAAAATACAAGAAATAAATGAGCAACAAGAAATAATCTTGTATTATATAAATAAATAACCAAACATCTAAAATTATTATATAAAAAATAGTAAAAAATACGAATAAATAATTAGTAGAATCAAAATCCTAATACAATGTTATAAATGAAGAATTTGATCTAATCAAGTGAAATAAAATAATTTTATAGAAAAAAATTATTTACAAAAAATATTTATCCAAGAATTTTTATATATTGATTCTTGTGCATGATTTGAAAGTTAGAATTAAATCTTTTAAAGGTTTTGTTGATATTTATAAGTCTAATTAATAATATTTTAGTAAAAATCATTTACTTAAAAATACACTAATAAAAAATCTTTATATATATAAATATAGAGAGAATTGATCAAGAAAATTGCAACAATGTGTAGAAAGATAAAACTATTTTAGGACCTTGGTAGGGGAAATAGCCATTAGATAAACCACCAAAGTTTTCCATCCACAACACAAAACAAGATAGTCAAAGGTGTAAATAGTGTGCATCATTTGTCTGCAATTTTGACAAGACGGCTTCCAGGAAATAGAGGTTCGGGATATTGTGTGACTGGGCGAATTTCGTGTGCTTAAAAGACATCGCTTGACAGTGAAGGTAGTGGGACATTCTTGATAATTGCCGCTGCACGTTGATGAGGGGACGGCCCTCGAAGCACCGACATACTGCCGCTCTTGTTTAGCAATATACGACCAGTTGAGCCTCAGTGCTATCCTCAGTGCAGTCGTTTCAGTTGCGGCATATTTGGGACCGGAGCTGTGTGCCAATTAGCAGAAGGGGGAGGTAGCGAGGCTCTGTTTGCCTTGGAGAGAATTAGGCTTAGTTCATTGGTGGGTTAGTCACATCATTGCGGGTTATAAAGAATTTGGTAGGGGAACTTCGAGGCTGAATTTGAGAAATTTTGGAGAGGAATCACTTAATTCCGGTTGTTCCTCCTTCATAATTGAGCTGGTTGGAGACAGGCACACAAACGCGGCGAAATTGGTTTTGGGTTGGATCATTGCGCGGTGACATGTTTACATTTGAACATTATATCCAAGCCTTCCACTTTCGGAACAGAATTGATGGCCATGCTCTGCAATTTATTTTTTCATTGTCTCTACTTTTTTGATTGGATTACGACGACATTTGGAATCAAGGTGAATGTCCTTTAAATTGAACTTACAAGCAGCGGCCTAGAGATTCAGGACAGCAGGGTAGATTGGATTCTTCACAGGATTGGGTGCAAGTACAAAAATGCAAGGAGCAGGGTCGATGGAGTTTTGGACCTTCTGGGCAGCGATGCTGGGAGTGTTAGGCTTCTTCCGCAATATACTCTCGAAAGAGTATGGAAATACATTTGACTCTTGGTTACATCGTGCCATAACCTACTTCTCGCCTTACGCCTTCTTCGACATTCCGGAGTTCGAGGGCGCAGGTGGTAATGAAATTTATGAATTTGTACAGTCCTACTTGAGCTCCTCAACTGCTTCAGATGCTCAGCACGTAAACTTGTGCCGCCCGAAAAACGCTTCTCAGAATACCTTCTCACCCGCACCTCACGAAACTGTTGAAGATACTTTTATGGGCACGAAGGTGTGGTGGAGTCACTCTGTCAACCTTCTCCAGAGTACTCGCTTTAATTTTTCGGGCGTTCCGAACGATGAGAAGCGCAAGTACACCCTCAAGATTCGTAAGAAAGACAGGGACCGCTTGCTCGAGCCGTATGTACAGCATATAATGGACGCCGCCAAGTCGATCAAGGAGCGTTCTCGAGATCGCCTTCTCTACACCAACATCAAGGGCAGTAACTAGTGAGTTTTTCCATCAATCGGTACTCATGATTCATGTCTGGGAAGTCTCTGGACCTGCCGAATTCCATCACTGTCTTCATGATGTTGCGCTGCGAAGTGCTAATATTACGATTGCCAAAGTAGCCGTAGGGTTGAGGTTCATTTACTGGGTTTCATGTGATCTGCACTTGCAATTGTTGAAACCATACATGCTACATCTTATGTTGAGTTATAACGCAAGTTGTGACTTACAGTTTCAGGAAGAAATCGTGGGAAGCAGTACCATTCAAGCATCCCTCAACATTTGACACGCTCGCCATGGACCCAGAGTTGAAGGAGGACATCAAGAATGACCTTCTGGAGTTTACACAGGGAAAAGAATTCTACCAGCGAGCAGGGAAGCCATGGAAGAGAGGTTACCTCTTGTACGGGCCACCCGGAACCGGAAAATCCAGCATGATAGCAGCCATAGCTAATTTTTTGCAGTATGATATTTATGACATGGAATTGACAGAAGTCACCTCGAATTCTGAACTTCGACAGCTGTTGATTCAAACAACCAACCGCTCGGTTGTGGTCATCGAGGACATAGATTGTTCGGCAGATCTTGCAGAGCGAGCTAAGGCCCGCAAGGAGAGTGATAAAAAGAATCCCGAGACAGGATTAGGCCGAGGCAGATCTGATCAAGATGAGGTACCCCAACTTCAGTTATTGACCTATTGCCCTATTCAGCTTGTTGTATCAGTACTAGTCGCAAATGCTTGAATCAGGCACTAACATAAGTGTCGCAATCGACCTCGACTTACGCATCCTGTTGTGCTACGATGGCTCGCAACACAACTCCGCAACAGTTCCATTTGCAGACGGTCAACTATGCCATGCCACGAGGACCAAATGTTGAGACGTGCAATTTGATTTTCAGGGAAGCCGAGTGACGTTGTCAGGACTGCTAAACTTCACGGACGGGCTCTGGTCATGCTGCGGGAGCGAGCGCATCATCATCTTCACGACGAATCACGTTGAGAAGCTAGACAAGGCGTTGCTGCGTGCGGGCAGGATGGACAGACACATTCTCATGTCGTGGTGCGAGTACCCGGCATTCCGCACCCTGGCGGCCAACAACCTGGGGCTGGAGTGGCACGATCTTTTTCCGGAGATAGAGAACGCGATCGCAGGCAAGGCCATCTCACCAGCAGACGTGAGCGAGCTCCTGCTGAAGAAGAAGCGCAATCCCACGGCTGCATTGGAGGGTCTTCTGGAGGTGCTGGGCAAAGCCCCCTTAAGTGAGGAGAAACCAGTCATGAAGATCGACCTCGATGAGCTCCAGCTGACTGAAGCCATAGCCATCGACGACGATGCAGCAGATGAACCCACCTCTTCTGCTGATTCTAGTGCTGTCGAGTCCCGGATCGAACCATCTCATGCAAATGGTGAGCCTACACCTGCATCTGCGGCGACGGAGGATCCGAAAACTGAGTGATAACGTCGACTCAGTGTCGCAGTTCAATAGCGAATGCAGATTCTACAAATCTCGTGTTGTAGAGTTTGTTTTGAGTCTGTTTTATTTGTCATCGACTGAGATTAGTGATTTACATCATGTCCTTGAGAAAAGGTTTATTTTATTCTATTTTACTCTTTTAACCATGTTGAATACGAATGGTGAATCTGAATCGTTTCATAATTTGGCATCAACCAAAGTTTACTGTCAAAATCCATGAAGATGGAACCTTATTGTAATATGATAGAAAGTTTGAATTGAATACAAGTAAATATTATTAGTAGTCTTGATGTATTTCATCTATTGAGTTTTTTTTCTAATATAAGTATTGAGGTGAGTCATTCACAATGTACTTATTTATCTATTTATTTTAATTTTTGGTAGTATTTAAATTTTATTCATTATGTATATGTATCTATATATATTGGAAAGGATTAATCATCATGTTATGGATTTGAGTCTTGTACTTATTTCTTATTATAAATCTTAAGATCTAATAACCCCATAGTTTTTAATTTGTGTCTTATTAAATTTTGATGGCTCTATATGTATTCTTGAGGAAAATGTTATTAACTATCATAAAGTATTGATAGTATTAAACATTAAACATGCATATTTAGAAGCAATATAGATAACCTTTAATTTTTAGAGACACTAACTTAAAATTTTATTTTAAATTATTTGAAAATAAAATTTATGAAAATCTAGTAGTACTACATATTATAAAATCTCCAACCAGTTCTCTTTTTTTTTTTCTTTTTTTTTTTTTTCTTTTTTAATATAGTTTTGGAGTTATTTTATTTAAAAGAATAGTTAAGAGTTATCCAACTTAAAACTTTGTTAATGAAGATTTCTCATTCTTTTTGAGGAACTTCTTATGGTCTAGTTTTAGTAACATTTTAAATGAAAAGATTTCTTTTATACAAATGGATATGAAAATGTACAATCTGTAATGAAAATTCAGTTGCTTTATTGACTCAAAAATAATCATTCCAATGTTCAATTCCTTGATGTTTAAGTTTTAAATTTTAGATTGATTATATCCATAATGTTTTAAAAATTAGATATAATATTTAGATTGATTATTTCGTATATTAGATTTGAAATTTTACTTTCTTGAATAAGGTGTTATATATATATATATATATGAAATTAATATTTATTAAGGTTTAAAGTAGCTATAGTAATTGATTAAATTTTACTTGGAATTTTCTTGGAATTGTTTAGAATTTGATTATGATTGGTATGGGATTTAGGATTTGGTTAGGATTAAGGATTTCATTAGGATTTGACCAAGGATTTGGTTGAGACTCATTAAGGTTTTACTTAGGATTTGATGTAGGATTTGATTAGGATTTTCATTAGGATTAAGTTAAAGTTTGGTTAGAATTTTTTTAGAATTATTTAGAATTTTTATTTTTAATATTTATTTAGATTTTTTTATTATTTCTTTAAATTTTCTATTTATAGTATTTTCTTAAGATTATTATTATTTCTTTAAGGTTTCATTTTTAAATTTCTTTAAGATTTCTTTATTATATTTCTTTTGTATTAATTTATGACTTTATTACATTTTTTTTTTTGTAACTTTTTAAAAATTTACTTAGAGAGGTTAAAGATTAATTAGGATTATTAATGATTATTTAATATTTATTCAAGACTGTATTAGACTTCGTAGGATTGTTGTTGCATTTCTACTTACCTTCTATAACTAGGTGCCTAGTATATTCTTAAGCAAGAATACATATAATATAATAATGTGATGTAGCATTAAGTCTAAAATCTAGTTAATTTTATGTAGTTTAGTTTGATTTAATGGTTTTCTATTCATTTAGTTTTTTTTATTAATTGCCTTTATTAATATCAATTTATCACAGATATAAAATTTACCTATATTTATATTTAAATAAAAAAAATTAGGTAGAAGATAAATATAGGTAAATTTGATATTATAATGTGGAAAAGCATCTTAGGAGCTTTAGACACGTATTTGATTTTATACATATTTATATTTGATTGGTAGGTAAAAACTTAGTTAACAAATTAGCAATGTGTTGCTTATATGGATAGCTTGTGATATAAGCTAATAATAAGGCGTGCATATGGAAAACTTACCTTACAAGTTAAGACACGTGGCTTATAAATTGGACATGTGTTGAAAGTCCTATAGGACATTGCCACATAACTCTTAATTGATAGTATATATAGAAGCAAGAATGATGCCTTTTCACTCTTGTTGACTTTTTTAGCCTTTAGTCTTTTTTTAAGACTTTATAATCTCCTTATCTTTGGCAATAGCTATTAAGGTTTAATATTATACCATCTTTGAATGATTTTTTAATCTTTTCAAGTAACATAAGAGTATATTCAACTTTTAATTTTTTGAGATTCATGTCCTTGAAATTTTTACAAGAGTGCTAATTTGACATGCTTTTTCGTATTAGAAGTAAGTGAATTATCCTACTTCTCTTATTGTATTTTGAAGGTTTTAGACTATTTACCTTTAAACTCACTTTTAGTTTTTTTAACACTAATTATTTTCTTTAAAAAGTTTGGACTATCATTCTATGTCAAAACTTACATATGATATTAGAAGTTGTAAATTATCCTCTTTTAGTTTGAATTTTAGATTTGCTTGAATTATCTATATAAAAAAAAAAAAAAAAAAAAAAAAAAAAAAATGTAGATGCTACTCTTGACAAAAGTAAATAGATTTAAAGATTTTTTAAGGAAATAATTTTCTACTTTAAATCCTATTCAAATTTATAAATATATTAGCATTATATTCCTCTTTTCCAACAAGTAAAACTAATTGCCTTCCAAATAACTTTGTTGCACTTAAATTAAGTACATCACAATACTCACCTCTTCTAAACGTGCATATATTCTAATATATTCTAAAGAATTAGACCACAACACCTCCATCATCAAAACTAAAGTCATTGTGAGCCATATCACTTTTGAACCGTTGATCAAAATATTAAGGCTTACAAGCCTCTAAATCTTCCATATAATTCATACCATCTTGTTGCTTAATGACTTTGATTTGCTTTTCTACAATCTTAGTCTTCAATAATATCTCATCCAACTCTTGAAGATAATAAGTTGCATTATCATATACTTCAACTACCACATAGGATCCAAATCATTACCATACAAACTTACGAAGAGTAGAGTATTAGTGTGTGAACTAAAATAAGCTTCTACTAGTTGGAAGGTTATTCTAGTTCACAACAAGTGAATTATCTACATGAATTTTAGAAGTTATAGATATTAATTAAATCTTAATCAAATCACTCTTTATTTTTCTTAAATAATCCAATCAATGAAGCCAAAAGTCTATTATCAACTTCCACTTACCAATAACAAATCACTTAACAATTTTTATAAAAAAAATAATTATTAATATTTTATTATTATTATTATTATTATTATTTTATTTATTTATTTTTTTTATTATCTTATTTTAAACTTTAAAATTAAATTCATCTATTGACAAAAATTCATCCTTGAATAATAATTCATCCAAATATAATATTTTAGCTACGTATAATATTTCATCTAAGTATAAAAATTCATCTAAATAATTTTCATGCAATTTAAAATTTTCTTTTCAACTTCAATTCTTTATCTAAATTAGCCTAATTCAATCCTAAATCTAATTTCATCCTTATATAATTTTCCATCTAATCTAAGTCATCTACTTTGAAAATATTATCTAGCAAATTGGATGGAGTCTTCTATGACCTGCTCCAATACTACCAAACTCCTTATGCAGATTGATAGCTCTTTTTCTAGAAGTATACATATAAGTCTTAGCCAACATTAAAATATCCTCAGTTATCAATGAAATTTGTAGTAGATTCTTGTAGTCTAACATCACTCTAATAAAATCTAGGCAAATCCCTCTAATTGGATGATCTCTTTGTTGTCATGAGACTCTGTCGAGGTACCACCTTCAAATCAAGGAATCAACTTGACATCCTCAAAAGAATGCAGAGGTCTATATTTATGACTCAATTTGTACCATTGCAATTACATATATTCTACAAATTTTGATAGGCTTTAGAACTTTGTTTCTATATTTTTAGAAAGTACATCAAATTTGTACTACTATAGATGTTAACCACAACAACCTTGTGTTTTTCATTGATACCTTTGAGCAAGGCCATGTTGTCGCAATAGAGAGAGTTTGCCTCAAGAAAGCGATGGGCTTCTGGCTGCCACTAAATGCTCAATCAAGTCTAAGATATAAAAGTACCAAGTTTATATATATAATATATTCCCTTTTAGGGCAATTACATCAAAACATAAGCCCAAGTACCAAGAAAACACCCAAATGTATGATAAAGTATCTTAAAACCTTATATATCCTTATGAGAAATATTTCTCAAACTTTGATAGCTCATATCTCACAATCGGAGTGTCCAAAAAACCTAAAATTTTACACGAAGTATTTATATACTTTCAAAAGCTACCACAAAAAAATTCAATTGCAAATTCGTTACAGATCTTGAGATATCACCAAAATCCTAACAGTAGCTTTAAACCCTAGCTTACATACACCCGCATGCTATTTTCTTCATATCTCACAAAATAAGTAGTCAAATACCATGAAACTTTGATCTATAGCTTTTTAACCTAATAAATCACACTTATAAAAATTTTGAGCCAAAAATTCGTCCAAAAAATTAAGATATGCCTCCAACCATTACTATCAACAAAATGACTCACTTACTGTCTTTGAATTACATATGTTGTCTTCAATGCCCTATAACTCCTTCATCTAGACTTGGAATTCGTCAAGCAATATATATATAGTGTAGCTAAGAAAGTTTTCTCTCCAATTCCAGTCACCGATCTTTCATTGCTCTCTATATGCATATGTTATGCTTCAAAGAGTGACAGTAGGTACAAATTTGACACCTTAACTTTGAACACCTATATCTCCTTTACAAAAAGTCGAAATCACACAAATTCTTCACCCAAATTATACCCAAAATCCTGAACTTGCTGATCTTAGCCTCTAAAGCTCAAATGAAATCGAAAGAAAAACCCTAATCCCTAATAAAGCCTCAGGCAACCTCATTGAAGTCCATTAGGCATGGCCTTCAACCAATAGGAATGAAGTTTTCTATTCCTTGCCTTCATTCAACCATACCTTGTTATCATCCTTTCCAATAAACCTCTTAATAGTTTAGACTTTTATCTTTAGACTCCAATCTTTTCTTAAGCTTTATATTAAATATCTAAATCCTACATAATATAAATACTATAATCAAAATAGATAAATCTCCAAATAAATTTTCTTATATCAAATCTCTTTAAATTTATTTATTAACCATTCTAATC